ATCACACATGATGTCTCTTCTGTCCATCCCTATCACATTACGTCCCTCTTTCTGTCCATCCCGATCACACATGACGTCTCTTTCTTTCCATCCCATCGCTACGATGATGTCTCTTCTGTCAAACCCTATCACACATGATGTCTCTTTCTGCCCATCCTATCACACACATGATATATCCTCCTTTGACGTGTCATTCTACACCCCCTATCATACATGATGTCCGCTCTTCTGCCCATCCCTATCCACACATGACGTCTCTCTTCTGCCCATCCCTATCACACATGACGTCTCTTTCTGTCCATCCACATCACACATGACGTCTTTCTTTCTGCCATCCCTGCTCACTTATGATATTCTCTTTCTGCCCATCCCTATCACACATGATTGTCCTCTCTTTCTGCCCATCCCTATCACACATGATGTCTCTTTCTGCTCCATCCCTATCACTACATGATGTCTCTCTTTCTGTCCATCCCTATCACACATGATGTCTCTCTTTCTGTCCATCCCTATCACACATGATGTCTCTCTTTTCCTTGATCCATCCCTATCACACATGACGTCTCTCTTTCTGCCCATCCCTATCACACACATGATGTCTCTTCTACGTCCATCCCTATCACACATGATGTCTCTCTTCTCTACCCATCCCTATCACACACTTGATCACACTTTCTGGCAATCCTATACATGATCTCTCTTTCTCCCATCCACTATAACTTACATGACGTCTCTCTTTCTGTCCATCCCTGTATCACCACTGAGTGTCTCTCATTCTGCCTATCCCTATCACACATGATGTCCTCTCATTCCTGCCCATCCCTATCACGCACAGTGTCTCTCTATCTGCCCATCCTATCACATGACGTCTCTCTTTCCACCCCATCCTATCATGATGATCACTCTTTCTACCATCCTATCACACATGATTAATCTCTCTTTCTACACATCCTGTCTGTGATGTCTCTGTCAATTCCCATCACACATGACTGATCTCTGTCTACCCATCCTATCACTCATGATCACTCATTCTACCCATCCTATCAGACATCAGCGTCACTCTTTCTACACATCCCTGTCCTCTTTCCTGTCCCTGTCCACCCCTGTCTACCCCATCCACCATGTTTCTATCCATCCATATCTTTCTTTCTATCCATCCCTGTCCTCCTGTCCATCCATCTCTCTTTCTACCATCCACATGTCCTGTCCATCCTCTCCACCTGTCCTCTCTACCCATCCACATATTTCTATCCATCCACTGTCTTCTCTTCCACTGTTTGTCTCTCTTTCCATCCACTGTCTCTCTTTCTATCCATCCACTCCTTTCACCATCCCCTCCTTTTCTCTCTTTCCTCCTGGCTTTCTTTCTACGGTGTCCACATGATGTCTCTCTTTCTATCCATCCTCCACATTTCGTTCCTGTGTGTGGGTCATGGTCTCGTGGGTCGTCTCCATCCGTTATCTTTGTTGGCCCGTGAGGTGGCTGAAATACTGCCGTTGTGACGCATATGCTGTGGTCGTGTGGCCATGCTCCTGCTGTGCACTGTCTTTCTACCATCCACTCCATCTTTCCTTCCATCCTTGTGCCCTTCCTCTTTCTACCAACACCCTCGTTGACGTCTGGGTTGGTTCTCCGTCACCGGGGTCGTGTTCAATAAAAGTTGATTGGGGATCTTTTTACAATGGATTAGTTTTCGTTTGATTCTTGTTTTGTATGGGTGTGATTGTATAGTTTGTTTAACCTGGACGACGGGTCGGGGTTACAATGCTACTCATGGAATGGGCTATCTTTGGGGCTCTATGGTTATCGACCATGCATGGTGGCCAAGACTGCTTGACACCTCGTTTACTTCCTGGGTTTGGTCCTGGCCTACCGTTGTATCCCGGGCTACGTGACGCCGGGTGTGCTGACCTGATTGTTTGTGGAAATGCTTCCGCTACAAGGTGTTTCCACGGAGGAGACGGGGTTCTATTGATGTGTAAAGGGTGAGGACGAGGATCAATACTGCATCATGTCATGTGTCACAATGGAAGATGAAGCCCATACGCCTGTCACGTATGGGGAACGTGGAACGTAAAAGATCGTATCATGGCTGACGGGTCCGGTGGTATATTCATTTGGAACCAGAGGGGTTCACAAAGTCCGCATTCTGGACTACCAGTTGTCGCGGTGTGGCTCAGCGGGTAAAGACTGACTGACTTTGTTATTGCTGGCGTTTGGGTGCCTGACTGTGGTCGTGGGTTCGACTCAGCCCAACCAAGGTACAAGAATCTGTACCCCAAATATATCATATGTTACATTTGACCACTTTCTAAATGGCATTGTATAATCATATATTCATTTGACGTGAAGGAATTAACGTCGTTAGCGAGAATATTTCGCTCATATGACGACGTGCATGCGTGTGTAATGTGTATGTGCGGCTGCTTGTACTAGCAGACTGAAGCTGGTTTTATAGTGCTAGCCACTGAGATACCATGCCGCAGTGAAGCATGAATACCCCACTCAGACACATTATACTGACTCCGAGCCGACCAGTCCTTGTTGTACCCGGTAATGCCGAGCGCGCCAGGCGAGGGACCAACAAGTACCATATTTTTAACGTCTTTTGGTATGACGCGGTCGGGGATCGAACCCGCGACCTTCCGCTCTCCGGGCGGACTGCTCTAAACCATACACCACGGAGGCGGCCCTCTTTCTGCCCATCCTCTATCACACATGACGTCTCTCTTTCTGTCCATCCCTATCACACATGATGTCTCTCTTTCTGCCCATCCCTATCACACATGATGTCTCTCTTTCTGCCCATCCCTATCACACATGTCTTTCTTTCTGCCCATCCCTATCACACATGATGTCTCTCTTTCTGTCCATCCCTATCACACATGTCTTTCTTTCTGTCAATTCCTATCACACATGATGTCTCTCTTTCTGCCCATCCCTATCACACATCACGTCTCTCTTTCTGTCCATCCCTATCACACATGATTTCTCTTTCTGCCAACCCCTATCACACATGACGTCTCTCTTTCTGCCAATCCCTATCACACATGATGTCTCTCTTTCTGTCCATCCCTATTACACATGATGTCTCTCTTTCTGCCCATCCCTATCACACATGACGTCTCTCTTTCTGCCCATCCCTATCACACATGATGTCTCTCTTTCTACCCATCCCTATCACACATGATGTCTCTCTTTCTGTCCATCCCTATTTCACATGATGTCTCTCTTTCTACCCATCCCTATCACACATGACGTCTCTTTCTGCCCATCCCTATCACACATGATGTCTCTCTTTCTGCCCATCCCTATCACACATGATTTCTCTTTCTGCCGACCCCTATCACACATGACGTCTCTCTTTCTGCCCATCCCAATCACACATGATGTCTCTCTTTCTGTCCATCCCTATCACACATGACGTCTCTCTTTCTGTCCATCCCGATCACACATGACGTCTCTCTTTCTTTCCATCCCTATCACACATGATGTCTCTCTTTCTGCCCATCCCTATCACACATGACGTCTCTCTTTCTGCCCATCCCTATCACACATGATGTCTCTCTTTCTGTCCATCCCTATCACACATGATGTCTCTCTTTCTGCCCATCCCTATCACACATGATGTCTCTCTTTCTGCCCATCCCCATCCCTATCACACATGACGTCTCTCTTTCTGCCCATCCCTATCACACATGATGTCTCTCTTTCTGCCCATCCCTATCACACATGACGTCTCTCTTTCTGCCCATCCCTATCACACATGATGTCTCTCTTTCTGCCCATCCCTATCACACATGATGTCTCTCTTTCTGCCCATCCCTATCACACATGATGTCTCTCTTTCTGTCCATCCCTATCACACATGATGTCTCTCTTTCTGCCCATCCCTATCACACATGATGTCTCTCTTTCTGCCCATCCCTATCACACATGATGTCTCTCTTTCTACCCATCCCTATCACACATGACGTCTCTCTTTCTGTCCATCCCTATCACACATGACGCCTCTCTTTCTGTCCATCCCTATCACACATGACGTCTCTCTTTCTGCCCATCCCTATCACTCATGACGTCTCTCTTTCTGCCCATCCCTATCACACATGTCTCTCTTTCTACCCATCCCTATCACACATGACGTCTCTTTCTGCCCATCCCTAATCACACATGACGCCTCTCTTTCTGACGTCTCTCTGCCCGTCATCACTCATGATGTCTCCCTTTCTACCCATCCCTATCACACATGTCTCTCTTTCTACCCATCCCTATCACACATGACGTCTCTTTCTGCCCATCCCTATCATACATGCTGTCTCTCTTTCTGCCCATCCCTATCACACATGACGTCTCTCTTTCTACCATCAGTATCACTCATGGCGTCACTCATTCTATCCACCCCAAAGAAAAATGCGCATCTTTCGTTTTACCTATCTCTTTACCTACTCACACGACGTATTCCTTTTAATACAGCCGTGTAATAGTCGTATCTCTACATGGTCTCAAACTAGTTAAAAAGTAAATCTCTGATGCATCGTTATCTTTGTTGGCCCGTGAGGTGGCTGAAATACTGCCGTTGTGACGCATATACTGTAGCATATCGCACACGCTGCCCATCTTACGCCCTGTGCCCTACCACCTGTACCCGACACCTTATAGCCTACCCCTTAAATCCTGCGCCCTATACCTCACACATTGTACCCTACGTCTTATACCTTACACCCTAAGCCCTAAACCCTATACCTTACACTGGGTGGATTTCTCCATCACCGGGGATAAGTATTTCAATATAAAAATTGTTAAGGATCTTTTTACAACCGTTAATTTTCATTTAATTCTTGTTTTTGTACCTTATGCGTGTATTATATAATTTATTTAACCTGAACGGCGAGTCGAGAGTTACACAATACTACTCATGAATAGGCTATCTTTAGAGAGCTCTATAGTATCGGCCATGCATGTTGGCAAACTGCCAGCAAGCACCTCGTTTTACTTCCTGGTTTAGTCCACAGCCTACCGTTGTATCGAGCTACGTGACGCGAGTGTGCCTGACACACAATTGTTTGTGAAGTACTTCCATACAAGGTGTTTCCACGGAGGAAGACGAGGGTTCTACCTGTGATGTGTAAGGAAGGTGAGACGAGATCAACCTTATATCATGTCATGTGTCACAATGGAAGATATGGCTTATACCTGTCACATGTAAGGAACATACGTGGAACGTAAAATCATGTCATGGCTGACAGGTCAGTGGTATATTCATTTAGAACAGAGGGGTTCACAAAGTCCGCATTCTGGACTACCAGTTGTCGCGGTGGCTCAGCGGGTAAGGCGGCTGACTTTGTGTGCTGGCGTTTAGGTGCCTGACTGTGAAGTGTGGGTTCGACTCAACCCAACCAAAGGTACAAGAATCTGTACCCCAAATATATCATATGTTACATTTGACCACTTTCTAAATGGCATTGTATAATCATATATTCATTTGACGTGAAGGAAGGTGAGATTGACATGAGGTGAGGTGAAATTAGGTTTAACGTCGTGCTTGAGAATATTTCGCTCATATGACGACGTGCATGCGTGTGTATGTGTAGGTGCGGCTGCCTGTACTAGCCCAGACTGAAGCTGGTTTTATAGTGCTAGCCCAATGAGATACCATGCCGCAGTGAAGCATGAATACCCCACTCAGACACATTGTACTGACTCCGAGCCGACCAGTCCTTGTTGTACCCATTAATGCCGAGCGCCAGGCAGAGACCAACAAGTACCATATTATAACGTCTTTTGGTATGACGCGGTCGGGGATCGAACCCGCGACCTTCCGCTCTCCGGGCGGACGCTCTAACCACAACACCACGGAGGCGGTCGAGATTGACATGAGACGTTGTCCACCGTTCTCGAGCGGGTTGTTGGTCGATGTACCCTCTGTGGTAGTGCATGTTAACCTCGCCCTACGTGGACCGGTGAACAACGAATAATAATGATAATAATGATAATGAGAATAATTATAACTCGCCTTTTCCTGGCTAGATATCCTGCTCAAAGCGCACAATCTGATCATTGTTACCCCGGATAACCCAAGCTGTTTGTTAAGCGCTAGATGGTTAATAGTCTCACAACTGTTTTCACCGGGTGCCCATTTTCTGCTGGTTGAACAGAGGCAATTTTGTACATACTCACGCACTCACGGTCACCCATCCAAGACTCTCCGCGCAAAACGTTGCTTTACTTCAACTGATTTGTGACCCGAGCTCTATGCACAGGACCACACACCACCAATTTGTCACCTGATAATGTTGCAGGTATATAAAATTCCGTTTGGCTCAAAAGCGGACCGATGAATTGCAATCTAACTCGAAAACTAATAAACATAAAATACTCAATGAAACGCTGATCATAATCAAAACATCATACCCACTCTGTGAGGTTTTTGCAGAATTTCATTAAAATATTGACACAGTTCACTGTTTGTTACGAGGGAGGGTTGCAGAGAAAGGGACAGCCAGGTGTTAGAGAAGCACGCTCACAGACAAAGTTATTTATTCATTAACCTGTGCTGTGCCGTCTCCATCCGTTCTCGAACACCTGGCTGTCCCTTTCTCTGCACTCCTCCCTCGTAACAAATAGTGAACTGTGTAACTCATCTTGCACGGCTCAGGGCTAACTGTTCTGTCTCCTTCCAGTTCTTTCATATCAGCTTTGGGGGCGGTGGGGTAGCCTAGTGGTTAAAGCGTTGGCTCGTCACGCCGAAGACCCGGGTTCGATTCCCCACATGGGTACAATTTGTGAAGCCCATTTCTGGTGTCCCCCGCCGTGATGTTGCTGGAATATTGCTTAAAGCGGCGTAAAACCAAATTCAGTCAGTCAGTCATATCAGCTTTGATTCTGCCTCTGTGTCTCGCCTACAGCTGTTCCTGGGCCTTCCTCTCTTCCTTTCCCCTGTGGGTTCCAAGACAGTGCATGATGGGTGATGCTGGATGGTGCTGCTTTGTGCTTTGGGGATAACAACAGACGAATGATATGTCGTCTTGCTCTATACCTGGCCGGTTTAGGTGATGTTGGACCGTTCCGTTTGAAAAAAGACGATGTGAAAGCGACGCTGTTGTTTAACACATCACTTGACAAGGGCTATATCCTCCCGAAGAGTTGTCACTCGTGGTCGGTCTGAAACGCTGACGGCACTTAACGTCATCAGTTTTCTGGTCAGTCGGCTGATGTCGATGGCTGACAACTCTCTTGTAATAGTCCTCAATGACACATACCCGTAACGATCCGGGTTAGAATTCATCTCCATGCTTGTCGTAAGAGTCAGGCTCGCTGACTTGGCTGACACATGTCTTCGTATCCCAATTGCGTAGATCGTTGCTCATGCTGTTGATCACTTGATTGTCTGGTCCAGACTATTTACAAACCTCCGCCATATAGCTGAAATGTTGCTGAGTGCGGCGTAAAACTAAACTCACTCACTCCTCAATGACACGCCAGCATTCCGCATACCAATAACTTGCATCTTTTCAACAATTGCCCATTGCGGAAGTAATATATTCGCTTATCAACAACGAAATCAATTGAGTTTCCACGTTACCATGCGGTAAAAACAGTTTACAGAACCCTGACATTTGCTTAATGACTGGTACACGGAGCGCACGTGATACTTACCTTTGATCGTTGTAGCGCATGTGTATCTAGAATCAATACAGTTCGCCCGAATGACAAATATGACCATAAAAGCAAACATATCTATGACATGAATGTATCATTGTTCAACTGTTGACAGGATAATCACGAAATCTGTGTGATTTGACACTAGGCATCGTGACAGGCCCTTAAAGTGTGGTGTCAAATGTCCGTTCACAAATTCAGTATCATGTGTGTCCACCATTGGAATTTATGCAGGCTTGACAACGACGACACATAGACGACTCTAAGCGATTGAAGAAAGCTTGGGGAATGATGCTGCATGTGTAAACTAACGCTTGTCCCAATTTAGGCAAATCCAATGGCTGATTCTGGGCTTGACGTAAACGTCGCTCCATTTCATCCTAAACGTGCTCGATAGGGGACAGGTCCGGAGAAACAGCTGGCCAGGGGAGTACAGGATGTTCTGCTGTCTCAGGAAATCTATCACAAGCGATGTGTGGACGGACAGTATCTTGCTAAAGCGTGATGCTACGTATCTGTCCTTGTATGAACTGCTGCACATGAGGCCCAAAGAGATCATCCCTGTATCGCAGACCTGTCTGACTGCCATTGACAATGACAAGTCGTGTCCGACCATGAGATGTGATTACCCCCCATACCATAACACCGTCGCCACCAAACAGTCGACGTTGAACAACGCACGCATCAGCATGCCGTCTGTAAACCTTGCCCTGCCATCTGAACTGCCCAGATGAATTCTCGACAATGTCAGTAAACAAACGACTATCCCAATTTTGTCTCCTGTAATGGTAGATGCTGTCTGCACCAGGCAAGACGTAGCTGTCTGTGACGCTGGAGCAAGATTGGACGCATTGCAGGCCGTCGGGGCCTGATGTGCTCCCTCGGTCGGTTCCGTACAGTTCTGATACTAAATGGATGTAAGCCAGTAATGGTCCGAGCAGTCAAACTGGCAGTGTGGAATCGATTCCTTAGATGGGTCAGCCGAATGCGGTTGTCTTGCTGACGAGACGTCTCGCGTGGACGGTCGGCCCGAGGCAAATCTTTCGTGTTCCCATTATGTTGAAAACGTCTCCATAGAGATGAGATCGCGTTTCGATGAACACCAAAATGTCTGGCTACTTCAATTTGGGCCATTCCAGTCTCCAGCATACGTACGTTACTTTCAACCTACACTGGGCGTACGTCATGCCGCGGCTTATAGAAAATCCCCGTTTCCGCGCCATGACGTACGCCCAGTGTAGGTTGAAAGTAACGTACGTGTAGTCCACAACATTCAGAGGCTAGAGAATAATCAACTGTTCTTCAGTTTTCAATATCAGGTGAGAAAAATTCAGGAGTCATAAAGCATACAAAAAGTGAGTAGGTTTTGCCACGCGCGATACCCGACTTTCATTTCCATGCAAAGTGCTTTGCTAAATGTTTATTTATGGCTATTTTTGTAATTTTGAATTGACTTTTTTAGACAATGTTATGTTATGCACAGTTATTTATTTCCGACAGTATAAAAGGCTATACAGGGGTAAGATCATTGGCGTTGCGATACTTTTTTCCTTGTGTATAGAATGGGTCTCAGTTAACCAGAATTCAACATCCCCAGTGTGTAAGGTAGGATAGGCGTGGCATGGCAAAATCTTGGTCAGTGGAGCGAAAATATGTCATACACAGTATGATAGTCATGCAGCTTTCGAGACATATATCAACTTGTTTTACAAATGCAACACCCCATCCTTCATATCTCCTATTCAGTCGAAATTACTTTGTATGGGCTGGCGGATTCAGACGGAAGAGTTCCCAGTATAGTCAAAAGATAATCAGTTCTCCTACATGTGTTGAATGCAACTTCAGGGGAACATTGGTGTAAATAATACCCGCGTGAACGTCTTCTTGTTTGTCTTCAAAATTGCTTACATCTGAATCAGGAAGTTACTGTCAATTATGCAACACTGACAATGTCACCTTGACCTTGTGTCTTCTGTCTGTGCACACAGTGTATCGTGGCGCTTATCCTGAGCTTATAAACTATGGAATCCTAGAAGGGACATTGTGGCGTTGTCGCATTGTCGCGTTGTCGCCCTCTCAAAAACAAGCAAAAAGAGGCAAAATTAACCAAAGCGCGACAATGCCACAATGCGACAAATGGTCGAAATGTCGCATTGTCGCATGGTCGCGCTTTGGTTAATTTTGCCTCTTTTTGCTCGTATTTTAAAGGGCGACAACACGACAATGTCCCTTCTTGGATTCCATAATAAATGCATTGAGGTAAACAAGATTATTGTTCTTATTGTCAGGTTTGTTTGTCAACTGCTCATCGAGAAGTACAGTCCCTCGTGTGCATACTTCCACTGCCTATAGGCGACACTTCCATGCAGAAGACTAGCTGATATGATTATGGACAAGGAGAAAGGTGAGTGCTGACTTCTCAACACAATTTTGCAATCCTGTCTCGTCTAAGGAACGCAACTGCGTGAGTGAGTGAGTTTAGCTTGACGCCGCTCTTAGCAATATTCCAGCAATATCACGGTGAAGGACACCAGCAATGGGCTTCACACATTGTGCCCATGTGGGGAATCGAACCCGGGGCTTCGGCGTGACGAGCGGACGCTTAACCACTAGACTACCCCACCGCCCCTGTGCAACTGCTTTGACGATTATGACAAGCCGGACTGTTTGTTTGTTTTTCCTTTTCTTAAACTTTGCATAAGCCCGAGATTTTGCCCTTATAGGGCAGGGTTGATGATAGTTCAACGCCCCTAAGGCTGTCTAGACAATCTTATCTTGGGTTCGAATCCCGAATTCTAACCAAGATCTTCACGGATGGTATGGGCTAGACACTCATGTATTTATTGACATGTATAAAGCGACAATCTATTTTCACTGGTACAGAAGCCACTGCTAAGAAAACATTGTCTGTGTGTCGAATGAACTGTAACACTTTTTTCCAAGTGCCTCATTTAACTTCTCATTGTGTTTAAAGTACATGTACTGGAAAGGCACAGCAGGACACGGAACGCAAAACAGAAACCTAAAAATTGCCTAAGTAGTTATATTGTTTCTAATTTCTATTGTTACTTCAGTGAACAGTTGAGGAAATCAGATACCGTATTTTCGTGCTTGATATTGAGAACTTCGTGAAGTTCTGGGTTCGAATCCCGGACGTATGTTTGTCATAAACGACGAGTAAAGCGGCACATGTCATCGTATCCCGTTCGCGTAGATCAATGCTCATGTCGTCAATCACTGGATTGTTTTGAATAGACTCGATTACTTTCAGACCGCTGTCTTATAGATGAAATATTTTGTGGCGTTAGAACATACGAAAATACATAGTTACGTCATTAGAATTTAATTAGCGCAAATGTGAACAAAAGCAGGACAAAACCTATTTACATAATCCTAAGAAACCTCGCAAAGTACATCAATAGTATATGTGTATGAATCACAATCAAAGTGGGTATAAAACCCACGATCATACATACTGATGGTACGTAGATCTGGCAATATTAGTGTTTACTTCTTTGTAGTTATGGTCATTTGTAGGGCTGGGTATTGCAGAGAATTTTCACATTGCGATATATTGCGATGTGAAAGCATATATTGCGATATGTATTGCAATATATTGCAAGAAGTATTTTTAAACATAAAACTACTTATAATCGAGTTAATGCTTGATTTTTAAAGCAAAAACACACAAAAATAAAAATGCTTGATTAAGCTTTAATCATGACAAAATAAAATATAAATAATATTTGGCACACATGAAACACGGAAATATCCGAAGATTTCCGAGTGTTACGAAGTTTTCCGAATGCAAGTCAAAATACCGGTTTTTGATCAGCGTATCGCAATACGTATCGTTTTCATGTTTGAACCGGTAAATACCGGTAAACCGGTTATATTGCGCAGCCCTAGTCATTTGTAACTTTCATCAACCATATACAAGTAGGATAATGGCGAACGTGACGTCATCACAACACTATTGCTGTCGCTGATCAGTTGTCCGTCATCTGTCCGCGGTAATAACTACGCACTATGAGCATCTGGTGAGCAGGAATTTATCCTGAGCAGGGTCCCGATCTACAGAAAGCGTTCGTAAAGTTACGACCTGTCGTAACTTTATAGTTTATCATAGGCTTACTAATGTCGTAGCGCTACGAACGCTTAGGGTCCCGATCCACAGAGCGTTCGGAAAGTTAAGACCTGTCGTAACTTTATAGTTTATCATAGGCTTACGAATGTCGTAGCGCTACGAACGCTTAGTGGATCGGACCCAGGACATTTTACCAATTTGACGCATCAGAGACGAAAACGTCAGCTATGATTCCCTATTTGTCACTTTTGGCCCGTGTTCCTGTAATTTTGACTTGCCTTTGCATGTGTTTGTGACGGTCATCGTCTTGAACAATAGATTCTGAAATCAGAGTTACACCTGACCTTTATTCATTCACCGCATGGAGAAATATAAATCGTGCCCTAAACAAGGTGTTATGTTATTTTTTTACAAGCTGTATCTATTCATACAATCTGTGATAGAGGGATGGTGTAAATCCAGCTTAGGTACCATCTAGGTAGGAGATGTACCGTCAGTCCCCATGGTCATTTGTTACTAAGAGTCTATTTTTATGATCATATACTAGTTTTAAATCTGTATCCGTGATTTCGAATTGTTTTACCACAAAGGATAGTAAAACAAATAGAATTATGTGCGGTTTTTTATAATTTGTGACACTCGTGATATGGCTGAAACACAGTCTAAGTAAACTTAGACTCAGTATTATTCGTTACCCTGCTAAACTGAGTGTAACAAAACCTTGTGGAAAGTCGCGTCAGATAACCTTTGAGCGACATATGACCGTCCAGTCAAACGCGACACGAACGAACGGATTTAACCAATCAGATAAGGCTACTATTTAGGGTTCGGCGGGACTTACAAAATGGATTTTCTCTTCCCCGGTCGCCAACACTGATCTCACAACAATGAAAACCCGCATAAAACACAGATCTATGACCTGCAGAATATACGCTTTGGGGTTTCTGTTGACATGGTTATCATTAGCTAATATTTCCGCAAGCTGACATTCTTGAATACTGACAAAACGCTGTTTTCAGCGACTGTTTACTCACTGTTGTGGCGTGCTCCATGTGCATCACTCGGAAGCGATCGTTTGGAAAATAGCATTCGGAATCGTTCGGGTACAAAACTTTTTCGAGGTAAAAGTTCAACAAGTATGTGCGAATGTCAACTTTCGCGATTTGGTAAGCTGTGTTCTGATTGGTCCATTGAAAAGGTTACCTGACGCGACCTTCCACAAGGTTTTGTTAGACTCAGTATAGCAGTGTAACGAATAATACTGAGCCTAAGTTTACTTAGACTCGGCTGAAACACTCCCGATGGGATTTTAAAAATTATCTCATACACTCTGACATTCATACCAAGTGTAACTTTAAGTGTTCTCAAGACAGGATATGCTATCACTACATACACGGTACTATGACGAAGGTGGCATTATATAACGAAGGTGACAGCATATCTAGGGTGACACTATATCCAGGGTGGCGTTATAAGTGGATGTCTGTAACCAAGGCAGCATTAAAACCAGGATGGCACTATAATCAGGGTGACAGTATAACCAGGGTGCCACTATATCCAGGATGGCCTTATAACCACGGTGCCACTATATCCGGGGTGGCGTTATAACCAGGGTGACACTATATCCAGGGTGGCGTTATAACCAGGGTGACACTATATCCAGGGTGGCGTTATAACCAGGGTTACACTATATCCAGAGTGGCGTTATACGTGGATGTCTGTAACCAAGGGAGCATTAAAACCAGGGTGGCACTATACTCAGGGTGACAGTGGAACCAGAATTGCGTTATAACAGGGTGGCACTATACTCAGGGTGACAGTTGAACCAGGATGACATTATAACCAGGGTGGCACTATACGCAGGGTGGTACTATATATAACCAGTGTGAAATTATATCCAGGATGACTTTATAACCAATGTGGCGTTATAACCAATGTGGTTTTATAACAGGGTTGCACTATAAACAGGAATAACTTACTGTCCGCAGATTCAATATTCTCTTCAAGCATTTCAGATTTCATTTATCACTTTCAGGTAACAAGTTTAGAGTCGTCTTCAGTGAAAACCAGCCGGGTTTATCCTTGACAAACCAACAGCAGCAGCCCTACCATCTGGTCATCGACAATGATGCAGTGCGCCTCCGGGACCTAACGTCAAATGACCTCATTTTAGAATGGCCTTACAACTACGTCAGGAGGTACGGCACTTCACCAAACAAATTCACAGTGGAGGTGGGGAGAAAAAGCGCCACAGGCGAGGGGACGTTCGAGATGGAGACAACGGAAGGCCTGGCCATTTTGGACAAGATCCATGAGGTATCAAAACAAATCTTGGCCAAACGTGGTGCGAAGAAACCAACGATCCCCAAAATCGGTAAGTCACGTTTATTTTTCCATCGCTTTGGGTCAGTGGGGAGGTATACACATGGGCATTAATTAAGCATCACCTGACTCCAAAAGCAGTTTTTACATTTTTGGTCGAAACAAGCGATCATCCCCCGCATACTAGAATGTCGATGTAAAACACGTGCCCCAGGTTCACGTGCAAGGGCACCCGTGAAGATCCGGATTTGAAATTGACTCGATTATTTACAGACCGGCATATAGCTGGAATATTGTCGCGTGCGGCGTAAAACTAAACTCACTCACTCACGTGCAGCGAAGGCGCCAAGCACATTAGGGTATTCGTTTTCCACTTGCTGTATGTGCACTACAGTTAGGGACCGTTCATAATTTATGGGGGTGATGATGATTTTAAGGGGGTCACCCATTTTGTTCTTGGGAGGCGGGGGTCATCAATTTTGTACACATGTACTAGGAGGGTCATCATAGGAACATTAAAAACTTATGCTTAAAAATTATGGGAAGGTGTGTGTGTGTGTGTGTGTGGGGTGTCATTGATTTTGTACATGACATGCAGGGCGGGGTCACTTACATTGTACATAAATTTTATATGCTCCTCCATGAAAATCATCATCACCCACCCAAATCGCGGAAGCATTCGTGATTCATACAATTGTTCAGTAAATAGATAAGCGTGAAAAATAATTTCATTAAGTACAAATTCCGCTCTAGTAGGCCGCGCCACTTGATTTCACTTCCTTCAATCTTGACATCGAATCTCAAGCTGGTTATTTACATTTCAGATAACGTATATACAGAGCCGTACACTCAATTGCCAATGAGACCGAGAGATAATAAACTCAAGGGTGAAGTTCCGGATGAGAAAAGTAAAGAGTCACTGGCTGCAAATACAGCAGCGCCTTGCTTTGAAACAGGTGATGGTGTGACCGTGACACGCATCGGGCAGGGATCGAAGCCTGCAGAATCACCTAGATTAGAACCTCCTGTGCCACCTAGATTAGAACCTCGAGTTTCATCCACATTAGAACCCCCATTGCCACCTAGATTAGAACCTCGAGTTTCATCCAGATTAGAACCCCCTTTGCCACCTAGATTAGAACCAGAACAAACTGGATCAGAACCCCCTGTGCCTCTTAGGTTAGAACCCCCAGGACCACCTAGAACAGAAACTAGGACTCTTACTGGAACTGCCCCGAGGAACCGCACTGAATCAGACCCTAGGGCACGTACTGGATCAGAAACGGACCTGTACCTGTCGCCGACGGTCATGGAATCTGTGGGCGTCAACAAAGACGACGGAGGTGTTGTTCCACGCGTTGGTGCGACCCCCACACCACACACATGTGATGATGAAGAAAAAGGAAACTATTGGACATCTACATCAAAGGAGCCTCGAACCCGTTACAGGTATGAACGGCTGAAAATAAGTGACGATGATTCCAGGCGCCAGGTTGACCCAAAACCCGCACCCGGCAAGTTAGTTGTTTTTTGATTTACCAAAGAGCGAATGTCCAAAGCAGCCTCGTAGTGGCTATGAAAATGTGAAAGTTTTAAAAAGATGAAACCGCAATGCGTACCTAATACATATACAGCTTGATCTGAGCTACTCAACATATGCATGACCCGGGAGGTCAAATGGCACAAACGGCAGGTCGAGTTAACTTCATTAAATAGGGGAGCATTTTCCTTTCTTGTTCTATTCGGCCCAGGCTTGCACTGGAAACACCAGTTGCTGCTGCTGCTCGCTGCCTTAAAGCCCGAATCGGAAACATTAAACCATCTGTAGCTTCTTTTTAAAGAAAGATAGGGCATCGCTGACGATTTCTCGAAACTGAGATGTCAAACGGCGACCTTGTCTCGGCTGTTCGGACAAGTTGCCAATCAACTGACAAAGGCGCACTCCTTCACAATAATAGACCCAACCAGTTGTGACACGGTCACGCAGTGAATTAGTATTCGCTTGATCAGGTCAAGCTGAACAAGTTGAAGGATGTACATTCCAAACTGACTGAACCTGAGGGCCCTGATATGAGCTGACTGTTTGTTAATGACTAATGATAATCCGTGATTTTTGTTAACTTATCTCATCTTTTCTTTAAAACTTTTGACACAAAAATTTTAATCCAACAAAATGCTCATTTGAGGACATTTCAAATTAAAGATAATAATGCTCATATAATGGGCAGAATACAAATGTAGACTTACGTAAATCTGTTCAGAACAGAACGCTCGCAATAAATTCAAAGCCACAAATATGCATTCCGTACCCGTATATTTCTTCTGTTCATTTTACAGGACAAGAAATTCAAAGAACTTACACTGTGAGAGTGCTCAGTTTATTATCAAATACTTTATATTTGTATATTTTCTGTATGTATACATTTTGCATATATTTGCCACAAATTTCATTTTCATTCTAAACACTGATATTGAAATATCACTTAGATTATCTTTCATGTCATGGCTCAAGCTGATGTAAAGCACTTCCCAGAGATAACCATAAACCATAAACCATATACCATTGAAAGTGTCAACTCAATCTATTGTTTCATGCACCAGTGAATTACTCAATGGCCATTGTATTGGCAGCCGGACGCGGTAATAACACATTTACCATCTTGAAACGGTCACGTGACTACCCATCCAAAACCTCCACCAAAGAATCTATTTCTTGTATTTGGAGATACAAAAAGAAATGTCCATCCTAAAATATACATTGGTGAGAAGGAAATACCGTCCAATACACATGTAAAATTTGCTGGTCTCCAAATCTATTCATCCGGTAAAACCATAGAACGTACGCAGTTTGTATGTGAAAGGCTTAGGATACTCTTTAATGTCAATAAGAGCCATGGCCTGTGTTTTGGTGGCCTTAACCCACTCTGTTGTGTCCGTATTTTGGAAAGAATTATTCTGCCATGCGGTTTGTACACTTGTAATGTATGGGCCCGTTTACCTGTACAGGAATATGATACACTTCGTTAGGATGAGGAAGCCACAATAACTCGGTGCGCCTAGTTTCTGCAAGAGTTGTATACTCCCCAGGGAGTTGAGATTGATAATGCGGTGGGCCGTTGAGATTGACATCCAATGATCGAAGGAAAATGTACCAGCGCCTTGAGCATGCACTAGTGCGTGGCTATGTGCGCTATGTAAATATCCTATACTAATGCTGGAAACTGTACAAAGCTAGTTTTGTAAGAGTATCCAAGGCCTTTCAAAACGTGGATCATCCACAATAGCCAGAGACAGTCTCGCCCTGGTCACACTACGAAGATATATCCACCAGAAGTCCTTGCTATTTCTCGGTAAACTATATGTAACAGCGATACTGAAGTTGTCTTTAAGAAAGTGCTTGTGCATAGACTCTGTCAGTACAGACAAACCTCATCACTGGAGAAAAAGCGATATAGCAAGTCATCGCCAATCTTGTCACAATGTATGACCTAGATATGCATTTATACAACTATGTAAACCAATCTTCTTTCTCAACGAAGGCTGAGTGGTCTGTACTGGGTAACTGACTGACTGACTAAGTTTGGTTTTATGACGCTTTTAGCAATATTCCAGCAACATCACGGCGGGGGACACCAGAAATGGGCTTTCTTCGGCGTGACGAGCCAACGCTTTAACCATTAGGCTACCCCACCGCCCCCTGTACTGGTTAAAGAAAGAATACTTAAAGCTGAGGATTCATATGTTGCTTCTATAACGAGGTTGAGACTTAACCTTGAAAGATATCCGACTATAAGATATTCTAAAAATGTTCACAGACTATGATCTGCATGTTATAAAACGCCAGAGTGTTTCAATAATATTGCTGCTCTTTTACGTATCAGCACACTGAGCATTCAGTCTCTTGAGTGTGAATGTGGCATAGTTGCCTATGATATTGTAAAACATGTATTTCTGCACTGTGCTCTCATACAAAGTAGTAGAAACGCTTTGATTGAGTCACTAGTTGACATGCTAGATGTTGACACTTTTGTCAGTTTATGGAATAATGAAGACCTATTTGTGTCATTTATGCTCGGTGGTCTACCAAATGTACATGTTCAAGAGCTTGAACAAGAAATGTGGTTTAAATGTATAAAACTTATCGCAAGCTCTGTAAAACCCTGGCTACGTCAACTAAAATACCTATTCTAATTTTGATCATCACACTCTGTATCCTGTAAATACATATATATAACCTATGTTACAACCTGCTGTATCTCCGACTTCCGAGGAAATAAAGATTATCTATCTGCTTGAGTGATCATTGACTTCCGGAATTCTCCATTACATTTTAAGGTAAGTTCTCTTGTACGATACTATTAATTACCTTAGATAATGTCATGACTAAAATGTATTATTTATGAATAGAAAGCGGTAATATAATGTATACAGTGTTTACATGAACATTGTCATGCATAATATCTCAGTCGTTATTGAATATGCAAATGAATTAGATGTGTTGTCATGGTTAGTTGTGCCTATACTACACTCATGTATGGACTCAATAAATCTACTCTATATGTTAATATGCTGATAGTGAACTAATATGAATAACTAGTTTATTGGCAAATATCATTTTTGTATGATTTATATGACGACAGCTGAGGCATAATTGAGATATGTGTTAAAATGATTTGTATGCACGGTCATGAATGATTATTATATGATGTCAGCTTGAAAGAAGAGAATTATTGTGCAATTAGAATTGCTATGCATACAAGCTCTACCGTTTGAGCTGCTAATTCCCCTTTGAAATATGTATATAAGCTGATTGTTTGAAAACCTTTTATGTATGTGTATTTATGTACAACGCACTTGACCTCACAATAAATATTGAAGGATTTCCTTGACTGATCATTGACTTGCGGAACTCTCCATTCTAATTTAAGGATGATAACTTGTAAGCTTACCTCACGCTTAAGTGTTGTTTTTTGATTGGCTGAGCGCTCTTCCATTTTTTTCAATATACCCCGCTTACATTTTCTACGTTACCTGCTGGGATAGCCGAACTGTTGGAATTCATTTGGTACTTCGTGTTAGTAATTCTTTATCTCGAATAATTGAGTTACGTATTATGTACGGAAATTATCGATGTTCTGCGAATGCAAATCGACGGAAGGGAGATAAATCTAAATTTGTTTTTCTTTATCTGTCGGTGTTGGCTAATTGCCTAACTCTGGTACTCCTTATTATGATCCGATACTCGTGCTTCAAACAGTTCAAAATTAACATTGAGGTGTTCGGTAAGATGAATACGTTAACAAAAACAAACATGGAGTGTACATCAATCCAGACAGACACACAGATAGATTTTTTATTTCTCACCTCGATACGTATCAACAAGTAAAATATATCGAGCCATCCACCACGGGGTTATGAGAGACTACTTTGCAGATAAAAAAAACATAGGCAAGAAACGTTTACAAATAGAAGTTTAAAAATGTGTGGTTAAAACCCATGTGCCCCTCGTGATCTGTGAACACCTTATAACATCCTATAACTAGCTGAATAACAACCCTCTCACACAGAGAATCATGTCAGACAATAGATTCCATCGCTTTTGCGCTTCCTTCTGTCGTTCATATTCATTACTTATACTTTAAGGGTGTGGTTTCCATGTTTATGTGCATCTTTGCACTCATATCTTTGTCTGATGAGCCTGAATCATTCAAGGAAAACAAACCATTCCATGGTTATTTAAAAAGAGTCAAGGACGATGGAAACAATCGCAATGTCAATGTTGATTTTTTTTTTATGGTTCAGTAGTGAGTGAGTTTAGTTTTACGCCGCATTCAGCAATATTCCAGCTATATGGCGGCGGTCTGAAAATTATCGAGTCTGGACCAGACAATCCAGTGATCAACAGCATGAGCATCGATCCACGCAAATGGGAACCGATGACATGTCAGCGAGCCTCACCACGTGCCATCAATAGAAGTAGTGTGTATGTTATTATGAAAATAGACGAGTACCACACTGATATGAGTGGTTATAGTGCAAACTATTTCAATAAATGTCTTTAAAACTGCATTTATTCCAAGGTCCTAATTGTTTCAATAAATGTCCAAAGTGCACCGAAATTACATCTTTGATGTATACAGTCAGCTAACATTAGATGAATCCCTTCTTTTCATAATGGGGCGGTGGGGTAGCATAATGGTCAAAGCGTTGGCTCGTCACGCCGAAGACCCGGGTTCGAATCCCCACATGGGTACAATGTGTGAAGCCCATTTCTGGTGTCCCCCGCCGTGATGTTGCTGGAATATTGCTTAAAGCGGCGTAAAGCCAAACTCAGTCAGTCAGTCAGTCTTTTCATAATACTCCTTCTGCGCTAGACCCTTAATTCTCAACGCTATATCTATAAATGTCAATCAATTCCTTACGTTGTCGGATGTCACGTATATACATGTACATCGTATACGGGCTTGTGACCTTGCGCCACATGGCGTAAAACCTGAGGGGCAACGGGCCCAGGGATTGGTCTGCCGACACGCCATACGACGAAGGCGACCTCAAAAACACCTAACCAGAAGAAGGGCCCATGGCCCAGTTCCACAAAGTAATCTGAGCCCTAAGGTGATCGTAGCTCCCATACTATAACACTGGGTTACGACAGTCGTAGCGCTAAGATCGCTTGTGGAACGGAACCCTGATCGTTGACAGAAGTGGACGGAGTGGAGGCTTGTCTTTGCGTCGGCCAAGGCCGTTGTCCCACCAACAACGAGTACGACGGTGAAGAATCGCCGTCCGCCTTTTGCATGTCTGTAAGGTATGGTGGCTGATTAGGGCCTTTTAAGGCGAGAAAGCGATGGCCCTAATCAGCCACCATAGAAAGGGACTGAGCAGGTTGGAACACTGTAATCGAAAGTCGTTGCCATTGGTAAATGAGTGCTTGGTCGAGTTCTTACAAGTTCTGGTGTTGATTCGTCTACTGTCGAACTGTCTTCCCGGCTCGTCCCACACGGGTTCAGGACTGGGAATTGGAGTCGCCTTTGGGTTGCTGAAGACCAGTTCTAACCCAGATCTTCACGGCTGTGATATGATAATACAAAGGGATGAGGAGTGTTTTAACGCCTCTCCTCGTGATCTGTTTCTCTTGATCTTTACTGGAATATATCTCACATATAACCCAAGCTGCCTGTGAGGCGCTAGAAGGTTAACAAGTCACATGACTTATACCACCGGGTACCCATTTTCTGTTAGGTGACCAGAGGCAATTTTAAACAGACTCACTTGCCTGAGGGGGGACCACATGTGTTTCGTTGTGTGGCAGGCCTAGAAACTCAAGCTGCTAAACACGGTCACCCATCCAACGACACTTCGAACTCGACGTTGCTTACCTTCAACTGATTCGTGACCTGAGCTCTACGCACGGGACCACACACCACCAGGTGAAACATCAAGATAATGACTCATTTTCATTAAACGTAAGCGTCTCTGCTGGAGCTACAACGTGACAGTCGCTTGGTTGGCAGTCATTTCTGTACCGTCTATCTCTACTACCCATGAAGATCCGGGTTAGAATTGGTCTTCAGTAACCCATTCTTGTCGTAAGAGGCGACTAACGGGATCGGGTGGTCAGGCTCGCTGACTTGGTTGACACATGTCATCGTATCCCAATTGCGTAGATCGATACTCATGATGTTGATCACTTGATTGTCTGGACCGGACTCGATTATTTAAAGGAATATAACTAAGTGCATTCTCTTTCCACAGAGGTTACTCCTGTCATATCTTCCTACCTAACCTCTGTTCTAATACGGCCCTTTCATGGTGTGAGCGTTCAAGACTCGTGATTGGAGGCAATCAGATTTAGTTGTGCAATCGGCGACGTTGTTTCAAAAGTGATCATTCGCAAGGCCTCGGTCATTTCCGTATGCTGCGAGAAAACTAAACTTCTTCCCCTGCGCGATGCGCAAACGTTTCTTCTAGACAGAACTCAGTCATGTTTTAGCGGATCAGTGGCGTCTCCACCGCCCTCGTTGACAACAGACAAGCTAGCCATTAAACGTCTTGTGTGTAACATCAACACAAGTCCCCGGCAGATGGGGGATATTTGTGGCCCCACATTTGCTTGTGTTAGTCAAGTTGAATCTAAGTCAATGTAACACGTGTTCTGATTGGATAGAAAGAAGGGAGATAATTCGTGTTGCGATCTTTTGCCGCTAGGGGATTTTACGAGAACCGGGAAATATGGCCGTATTAGAACAGAGGTTCGTAGGAAGATATGACAAGTAACCTCTGTGGGAAGAGAATGAACTAAGTGCGGCCTAAAACTAAACTCACTCATTCCACTGATGGATTCAGTTTACTTTAATAAGTGTCAATGTTTTAATTTGGCTAAGTATATTTCTAGAACTCAATATCTCTCACAGTTTTAGAGATTTTAAGTCAGTTAACGCCTCACCTATTTGAGATGACAACATTAATAATTTATACATACGTTTTTAATATACATGTAGTTACATATATATTTAACTTACATAAGATTATCCGATAACAATATAAGGTTACAAACTTTTTGTAGCTGTCGGGTAGCGTTTATAAAGTATCAATGACACATTGTCAACACATTCAACATCAGCATTCCAGCGTCACTAAGCGTAATCTCATCGTATGTGTGTTCGTGTTGTTTATTTGTATGAGACTACATACTGACTTTCTGGGATGGGGCGAATCGGATTACCCTGCCCTAAGGTACGGTCTAACCCTAAACCCTGCGGATCGGAAAGGGTTGTTCGCCACGTCAGCTCCCGAAGGATCGGAAAGGGACCCGGATCGGAAAGGTTCCCATACCCTAACCCTAAGGATCGTAAAGGGTACCTAACCCTAAACCCCAAGGATAGGAAAGGGTGCCATACCCTAACACTAATGTTTTAAGGGTCGTAAAGGGTTGTTTGACTCTAAAGATGCGTTAGTCTATCTCACAGTCCCTTGCCCATATTATTTTCCCTACTGCCTAGCCCTCCCTGCAGTGCTAAAGCCCTAAATGAAGCAAGTCTAGATTTCCCCATGTTCAGGTTCTGAATCTCTGGTCTGCTTTGGGCTCCTTTTCAATTTAAATGGGTTTACTTGTTACAATCAAAATTATATATTCAGAGACTAAGCGTTAGTGTAAAGATGCGTCAGCTCTCTAAGGACCTAACACTGAGTACCTAACCCTAATAGAACGACCGCCTCCGTGGTGTAGTGGTTAGAGCGTCGCGGGTTCGATCCCTGACCGCGTCATACCAAAAGACGTAAAAATATGGTACTTGTTGGTCCCTGCCTGGCGCTCGGCATTAATGGGTACAAGGACTGGTCGGCTCGGAGTCAGTATAATGTGTCTGAGTGGGGTATTCATGCTTCACTGCGGCATGGTATCTCAGTGGGCTAGCAGCCGCACCTACACATGCACACGCATGCACGTCGTCATATGAGCGAAATATTCTCAAGCACGACGTTAAACCACATTTCACCTCACCTCACCCTAATAGAACCCCTAGCCCTTTTAAAGACTGCCAGCAAAGAAGACAGAGCGCGATATAGCGAGAAAGCGCTAGAAAAAAAGGATCCACTAAGATAGACTTAGGACAAGTCAGAACCTATCCAAATATTTGTCCTAAGTTAGGATATCCTATTCTCTTCCCACAGAGGTTACTTGTCATATCTTCCTACGAACCTCTGTTCTAATACGGCCATATTTCCCGGTTCTCGTAAAATCCCCTAGCGGCAAAAGATCGCAACACGAATTATCTCCCTTCTTTCTATCCAATCAGAACACGTGTTACATTGACTTAGATTCAACTTGACTAACACAAGCAAATGTGGGGCCACAAATATCCCCATCTGCCGGGGACTTGTGTTGATGTTACACACAAGACGTTTAATGGCTACCTTGTCCGTTGTCAACGAGGGCGATAGAGACGCCACTGATCCGCTATAACATGACTGAGTTCTGTCTAGAAGAAACGTTTGCGCAACGCGCAGTGGAAGAAGTTTAGTTTTCTCGCAGCATACGGAAATGACCGAGGCCTGGGCGGTTTTAAGATACATAGCGTTCAGCTCACTGACATGAACGCTATGCAGCACCTCCATAGGCCGCAATGGTGGAAATCCTTTGTCGCACTTTCGCGCACTCGTTACGATTTTTGCGCACGAAAAACTTATATGAATTACTTCTTTGTACTTATACCTACACGTGCGCCCTATTTTCGTTATCAAAATATCCAAAAATATATATTTACAAGCCATCAAACATCTCAGTCGATCGCTCACATATGAGCGGGGCCATTTTGAATCACGTGACCTGTGACGCGAAGGGGATATCCCTCCCAAAAATAGTAACACACGTGTACCACACCTCGTTGCTTGTTGACAACACATTTTCATACATTTAAGGCAATTAAAACGATTGTATGGAGATTTTCGTTTCCAATCTAGACTGACTGACCACCCCTGCTTTTTCAACAGCTGTTTTCAAAGGATTTGCTGGTGAGTTTTCAATGCTTCATATATAATATAAGATTATTGCTGTCACCTTCACAGTTCCATGGGTGTCTCTGTACTACTCATGAATATTTGCCTACAAAACACAGTTTACTAATTAAATTTAGGACTTAAATAATTAATGAGTTCACGAATTATTATCTATAAATTTCATGTATACCCAAAAAACCTTAAATATTTCTCAGTTTACAACTCTCCTACCTTGAATAAAATTTTAAATGTTTCCATGTTGTATTAGGTCTCAAGCACCAGCTACAAACCTTGCCAAAATCATCTTTTCATTTCCATATTAGCAAACCAAGTGGCCAAAAAGTGTTATTTGTCATCATTAATTATAAACAAAAACTAAAATAAGGAGATACATCAATAAATCAATTGTTGAATAAGGGGATCATTCAAATTACAGCACAATGCCAAATATCATACTTAAACTCTTGTGCATACACCATTGGACAGAAGGCTTTTATTTGTTAGGTCAACTGAAGAAAATTCATTTGCAAACGTTACAGTACCTCTTATCTTTTGACAGCAAACACAGCAGGCTTTCCAAATTATCAATGAAGAGTTAGTTTAGAAAGTCTGCTTTTCAAGGTGCAATTAGATGTTTATTGAGAACATTAACAATGATAAGGATATGAACATGTGCATGAAGTTTATTCTTTTGAAGGTATAAGTTTAAACTCATGTTAAATTAAAGTGATAATTAATAATTAACATTGATATGCACTTTATTTACTGGTATTCAAGGTTGAAAATTGAGAGAAGAAACCATGGATGACACTGTCTGTGCCCATTGCAAGGGCAAGTTGAAGACAAAACAAAGGGATGGAAGAGATATAGTTGCAGCTTAGTATTTGACGACATGTCTATTTTTTTGTGAAACTCACTGCTATAACTTATCAAAACAAGAGTCATCAAAAGATGACAAATCCCCCCAGGCTCCAGAAATTTGAAAGAACAAATCATCTGACAGTTACTGATAGTCCAACTTGATTTTTTTTTTACTTGGTGCAAATTGTTCCATGGAAATCATGAAAAATATAAATACTAAAACTTTGAAATAACAAAAGGCACCACTTCAAGATCTCTCTCATATATCTGCTACATTTGTTGAAAGATAATGAAAGGTTTTCGATTTTTGCTCAGGAAAAGAAGCCCACCCCTACGTTTTGAGACTAAGTCCAAATCGTTTCCATGGAACCGAGAAAAATAAAAAATGTCAAAAATCTGCAAATAGCCAGGGCACCACTTAAGGTTCTGATTGATATATATACCAATTTGTGGTGAAAAATATTGAACAGTTTTACAGTTCTGCTCCTGAAAAGAACACTACCACCAATTTTAGTCAAAGTCGAAAATTGTTGCAATGGAAACACACACAAAAATATTTTATACAGAAATCCCAAACTACCAAAAAGGCACCAGTACACCACCAGATCTATCTATGTGCCACGTTTGGTGAAGAAATAGTGAGCGGTTTTGAAGTTCTGCTCCGGAAAAGACGAATGTGCACGGACGGACGGGCGGAGCGCATTTTAATGATTTGCATTTGGCTGTGTGCTGTAATTTGAATGATCCTTCCCCTTTTAACAATTGCTTTCAAGATGTATCCCCTTGTTTTAGGATTTGTTAATAATTCATGATGAAAAACACTGTCCCTTCATGTAATCAACATCTAATCTCCTATCCAAAGGAGGAAATAAATATGATGATGAAGATAGGAGAAATGTGAAATGAGAAATATTTAAGGTTATATGGTACAAATGAAATTTATAGATAATTGATTCGTGAACTCGTTAATTATTTAATTCCTAAATTCTAATAAGTCTTATTGGTAAACTGTGTTTTGTAGGCAAATATTCATGAGTAGTACAGTGACACCCATGGAACTGTGAAGGTGACAGCAATAATCTTATATTATATGAAGCATTGAAAACTCACCAGCAAATCCTTTGAAAACAGCTGTTGAAAAAGCAGGGGTGGTCAGTCAGTCTTGATTGGAAACGAAAATCTCCATACAATCGTTTTAATTGCCTTAAATGTATGAAAATGTGTTGTCAACAAGCAACGAGGTATGGTACACGTGTGTTACTATTTTTGGGAGGGATATCCCCTTCGCGTCACAGGTCACGTGATTCAAAATGGCCCCGCTCATATGTGAGCGATCGACTGAGATGTTTGATGGCTTGTAAATATATATTTTTGGATATTTTGATAACGAAAATAGGGCGCACGTGTAGGTATAAGTACAAAGAAGTAATTCATATAAGTTTTTCGTGCGCAAAAATCGTAACGAGTGCGCGAAAGTGCGACAAAGGATTTCCACCATTGCGGCCTATGGAGGTGCTGCATAGCGTTCATGTCAGTGAACGCTATGTATCTTAGCTAAAGGACTGTAAGCTGGACAGCTTGTGTTTATTTGAATGACATAATTCACTCAGTGACAATGAAGACGTCTGTTGGCATGGGTGTTCTGACCTGGCTGTTGTTTACATTTGCTACTGCAGAGGTTGATGTACCTAAGATAACAGAATTACACATCACCTCTCAAGTTCAGTCGAGATTTGCAACTGTCAAAATATCCAGCACCATTGTGAATATAAAGAATGACACCAAAGAAGCGAATTTCCAAGTGCAGATTCCAGAATCGGCTTTTATATCCAATTTCACCATGATAATCAACGGCCAGTTTCATGAATCAAAGGTATATGAAAAGAAGGAAGCTCAGAAAAAATATGACAAGGCTAAAAAGGATGGGATATCAGCTGGACAAATTCGACACTCTACCACAGATGTGGCCCGTGGTATGGATATATTTGCCACATCGGTGAACGTTGCTGCCGAGAGCGAGGTCTACCTGGAACTAACCTACCTCCAGTTACTGGAGCGACGTCTTGGTCTATATGAACAGAGGATTATGGTACAACCCAGGCAGATTGTGGATAACTTAACATTGAATCTTGTCTACGAAGAGGGTCCTCAAATATTTGACAGATTTACCTATCGTCTCCCCAACAGCACTAATGTTTTGGATGCAACATCAGAACATGCGACACTCATGGCATCAGTCTCAAAGCGTCAAATCATATACAACCCTTCTGTGTCTCGACAGACACAGGTCAACGCTGACCGAGGCATTGATGGTGAATTTGTTGTGTCCTATGATCTACAACATGGATTTGATGGAGGCAGCATAATCTCGGCCCTCAGTAATGATTTTTTTGTTCATTATTTCGCTGTTGACAAATCTGATGAATTGCCACCCATCCCGAAGAGCGTCATATTTGTGATTGATATCAGTGGGTCAATGGGAGGAAGGAAGATTGAACAGACAAGAGATGCAATGAAACAGATTCTCCAGCAGCTGAGTAGTGTTGACTTCTTCAACATAATACTGTTTAATAGTGAAGTAGTTGTGTGGCAGTCAGGCCCTCAACAAGCCACCTCAAACAACATCCAGTCTGCTCAAAGCTATGTTGATCAGAAAGTGAAGGCTGGTGGACGCACAAATATCAATTCTGGTCTTCTTGATGCTCTTGGGATCCTTTTCAAGAACAAGATCAATAAGGCTGACATCATTGTATTCCTGACAGACGGAGAGCCTTCAGCTGGAGTAACTGATGTTCTGAAAATTCATAAAAATGTCAAAGGTCTGAATGAAGGAAGAGTTGCCGTATTCTCATTGGGATTTGGTCAAGGTGTAAATTTCAAGTTTCTGGAGCAAATATCTTTGGAGAATGGAGGCTTTGCCAGGCGTATTTATGAAGAGGATGATGCAGCAGAGCAGCTGACCAATTTCTTTAGAGAAGTGAACATCCCTCTGCTCCTCCAAGTGCAGTTTCAGTACAACAGCAACCAAGTTGACATGTCGCAGCTGACCAAAACAACATTCAATCAGTTCTTCTCTGGAACAGAAGTGGTGGTTGTGGGCAAGAGGCTGGGTGATGTCATAGATGCCACAGTGGAGGGCTCCACAAGTGCTAACAAGGTTCAGCTTGTAGTTCCTGATTCATCAAAGAAACAGCTGTCTGGACCATCTGGAGAGTTTACCGAGAAGCTGTGGGCGTATCTGACCATCAAGGACTTGTTGCAGAAGAAGGCAATAGCAACCTCTGATGAGGAAGGTGAGATATTGGAAGGTCGAGCCCTCAACATGTCACTGGCTTACAAGTTTGTAACTCCCCTCACATCTCTGTTGATTGTTCAGGAGCAGCAGTCACAAATGACAGAAGACCATAAGTCTAGTATTAATGTCCCATCTTCTGCTGGTGTCCCTACCTCTTCTGCAAGCTCCTTATCTGTCACTATGTTGACAGTGATGCCAATCATAATGTTGGTTTTCAAAGCTTGTAACAACTAAATCTGGCCTTTGAACTAAGGTCTAAGCACTGGGATTGCTTGGGCCTTTGTGCTTTTGAGTAGCTTTTAGGTCCTGGTGACCATGTGGTTCCCATACTAAACACTTAAACAAGAAGAGCTTTATTATGTTTATACAAACAATTGAAACAAATAATTCAATGAATTGACTACAGAAATAATTTTTTAAAAATGAAAGAAATTAAGTTTTAAAACTACAGTATTATCATCTCTTTATGAGATAGTTTAATGTAATTTAAATCACATGTCTCCATCTTTAAGCTTTAGGCCCAGATGTATATTGATAAAATGTCTGTAAGAGCACTGGGGGTACATGTTTTGGGGAGCTTATGGATGGTGAGACTTCTAAATTTTGTGATTGAGTGAAGTAAATATCACATGTAGAGTCATTCGTAACTACTCGCCTCTTTCCGTGCCCTACAAGAAGACTCGTACCCCTATCGTACGCCATTATTGCCAAAAATCATGGCAAACCAATCAAATCAAGCGTAGTAGAATGCATTTCGAAACATGAAAATGGCGGCACTGTTGAACTTTGAAACTTCACTAAACTATGCAAAGCACAATTTAAACATAAACTTTGAGCTAAACCATCAGAAACTTTAAACACTGAAATATGTTTACAAAGGGAATGACTGTATTGCTCTTTGCCCATGAGATGTAGGATATTATATGAGCCATATTTGTAATTTCAGAGTTATCTTTCCTTTGTAGGAATACTAGACTATTTTCATCCCCATGCCTGTTTGCGCTTAGACAGGGCCCAGTCGTAAACATGGCCACGAAAGGGGTACGAGACGCCATCCAGCTTGCCGGAATGGCACGAGTAGTTACGAATGATGTAGAGTATGCTACAATGGGGACAGTTGAATAACATTTGTAATGATTGAAATAGTCATGCTCTTTTGCATCTCATGACTTTCAGTTCAAATGCTGTGTATCCCTGTCAATTTTAAGTGTATCAGGTTTAATATTTGATAACACTTGTTATTGCAGTTTGATGCAAATGAGTTGCAGTTAGGGATGTAAAATTACTAGAATTTGGTATTGCAATATATTGCAATACTTAGGTCTGCTTTGTAATATAAATATTGAGGAATATGTTGCCATTGACAGAGAAGTATGTTTTCTGCCAATTTTTAAGCAACTTATATTTGTAAAGACCTAAATAGTGCCATTCATTTACAATATTGTTTTTTCAGTTAGTACTTGCCTTAAAGTTGGGAGGCTCAGATTTTAACCACTGCAACGTTTCATCAATGGTAGTTACACAAAATGACAAAAACAGTCCATACCAGAAGTATCGTTTGTATGAGACTAGTAGTCTGTCTCACAGTCCCTGAACCACGTTATTTTCCCTACTGCCAAGCCCTCCCTGCAGTGCTAAAGCCCTAAATAAAGCAAGACTAGATTTCCCCAGGTTCTGAATCTCTGGTCTCCCTAGGGCTCCTTTTCAATATAAATGGGCTTGTTTGTTACTATCAAAATTATATATATTCAGAGACTAAGCCTTAGTCTATGAGACTAGCTGTATGATGCTTTGTTAATTCTATAATTTATAAAACTCCAAGGAATACGATTCATATATTTTGTGTAAAATACCAGCCCATTTAGATGATGTTGCAGTATATTGTTGAAGATTTGCATTCCGCTCAATATTGGTAGTACTGTATATTTTTATATTTTTCTTAATATGAAATTATTTGTTGTTTGAATGAAAACCATTGAGAGTCTATAGTGTCCACTGATTATCTGTCTTTTTTATTCAGGTTTCAGAAAAAATCTTTTCAGTGTGTACAACATGTATATACTCATATATAGAAATCTTTATTTACCTTATTAGCCTTTTGAGCTTGTCAGCAAAATTGTATACAATTTAGAATATAATGTATATGTACATGATTAAATTGATCTGCAAATTTATAGAATGTGACATTTCTTGGTATGCGAGCTAGTCTTGCATTGTACTGTTCACTGTGATTTTTATTGTCTGTATTCAGTACTAAATGAATAAGAATGTCAACCATCTGTAATCATGATGGCCAGGGAATTTTGACTGTGCCTTTCTCATTCGAACCACTAAGACCCACCAGGCTCAAATGGAAACATTCTGTGATATGTGCTGGCCAAATGAAGTACACACCCTTGTTTGTCAAAACCAAAATGAAATGATATGGTGATATATTTGGTTATAGATCTCAAAATATTTTTAATTTTAAGTTTGCATTGTTTCGGCAACTATTTTCAACCAAGCAATAGTTTTTTGGATAATGTTTATGATTTGGAAGTCAAACCCATATTTCAAGTGTGTACTTTGTTTTTCCTGTGAGTATATTTGCATTTGTCTTGAGAGCAGTTTTACATGTTAACCATATATGTATATATCTATGTTCATATTCAGTATGTCAGTACCTACCCAGTACATTGTGCATGTTTTGTTTGGTTTCTCTATTGCCAACCTGGTATTCCCCGCCATGATAAGGCTGTGAATTTGCTAAAAGCGACGTACAACTAACTGCCAAAATTATAACTTTCAGTGAAACTCATCCTGATGACTGGTAAAATATAATGGTTTTGTTCTTCATGTCATTTTGATAATTAGAATAAAGGTTTTATCTGGATTTAGGGATGTTGGTTCCACCAGATATTAAAAATGTAATGTCATTCAGAGCTATTTTCCCATACTTAATCACATTTAACCTGTGATATTATTATAAAAAGGACTGTTATTATGTGTGGTCGTATATTTACATGTGTGTTTACATTGATAATTAGATATTAGTTGTTTGTAGATTATATGGAATAGCCTGGACATGCTGTCTGAAACTGCAATTGTAGTCACTAGTTAGAAGCCTGAGTCAAGAATTCTGTATGGTCTAAGATCAGAAATTAAATGCCAAATGATACTTGTAAAATCTTCTGAAAATGATACTAAGAACAAAGTTTGGGCTAGTGGACTGAAAATATTTGGGTACAACTTATATCTGTCTGTTCAACTTGTGGCCATCAAAGACAACATTTATGGTAAAATATTTAATTTATCCTAACCAGGTTCACCTTTCATTACCATGTAGTGCCAGCTTGGACCAATTTCTGTGGATAACATTTTATTTTATATTTTATTTTAATTTAATTTTATTTTATTGGATTATGCATAAAAAATATTATCTTCTAGTTCTGATAAGTGGATACACATTTTCCTTCTTAATTATATAATGCTCAAATTATTTTGGGGGGGAAAAGGTTGGTAGATGTTTGGTAAATAGTTTCATGAATAATCTTTGTTTTGAATATGTGCTTTCAAGTCTTCGTTCACATTACATTGATAGTATTCTTCGAGTAGTCAGTACATTTTAGCCTTAGACATTTTTACACTTATGATTTTAACTATTTACAAGTGTTTTGATTAAATGCTGTTTCGGGTTATTTCTAATTTGTTTCTTGCCCCAAGTTTGTAACATTTTGCATAAACTCAAAACTTTGATGTGTGTGTTTCATTAACAAGAAATGGCTGTTCAACAGTGATGTATTAGATAAGCTTTTGATAACATTTGCAATTTTGGAGTTCCAAGTTTGTTCCACGTTTAGTTAAGCAGTATTGTTTAATTATCCGAGTTTAGTTAACCAGACTCTAATAATGATAATTAATGAACAAAGTTGCCGGGACCAAAGAAAAGTGTTTACTTATCAGGTCTGTTTAGTTAAGCGGTCTTTACTTAGGCGGTTTCCACTGTATTTGATTGTCCAGGTTTTTCTTTGCCTTACTTTTGTCTTGAGATTTTGTGAAGATTTTGTATGTTAAACATACATTTGTATATGTCGCTAATAGGGTAATGTTTATTGTTTTCATTGCACAATAGTTCAGATTCTTTGTGTTAAAGTCAGTATACAAAGTAGTTTTCTCTTGATGGTCCTTTTGATCATTGAAATATACTATCCATCGCTAGTGTAAATGTAGCCACTTACTTCAGTCGACTGTTTGCAAACTATTTTGCAAAATATTCCATACTGTTTAAAGGTACTGTTTACACATGAACTGATGTATTGTAGAAAAAAAATGTAACGTTGAAAAGATTATTGTCATGAGTCTTGTTTAACCCTCTGTCACCTTGTCTGAGCAGCGCACGGTCCATACTACTGTGTGAATAGATGCGCTATAAAAATACACATATTATTATTAGGTCTTCAGACGAAAGTCCATAAGTCTATGCGTCAGATAGCTAGGATCATGCTGATTCCAGAACACTAATCGTTTTGACCGTAGACCCAAGGACAACCATTTCTTCTGTGGGAACTACTTTAAAGGTGCATGACCCCCGCGACCCTGGGTGCATTTCACCGATCTGCTCTCGTGTCAAAAACGCGGTTTGGACGGTTTCTAGCCCTTAAAATACACTTCAAACACCCATAACTCCGATAGTTAAAATGGACGCTGCAGCTGGCGTCCAAAGAAACAGTACAAGTAAAAGCAGCCACGGGGAGTGTATGGGGAAGTCTGAAGACCGTCAGTATTGCCCAGGAGGCAATCCTAGTTGTTGTTATTATTATTATTATAACCATGATAACAGACTGAATAGGAAAATACACAGAGCGAAATTTACCACCATTTGGTGATGGTGGCGTCAGTGATAATATGAGATTCTTAATTCTGTTCTACCATTGTTAATGCACCAAGAGAAGCATGCCACGAGTAAGCTTCTCCCAAGTCTGATGTTTTGTTTGTTTTCGTTTCTTTGTTGTTTTACGCTATACATAGTCAGGATGACTGACATCATGAGCATCGATCTATGCAATAGGGGGTACGATGGCATGTGTCAACCAAGTCAGGGAGCCTGAGTGCCTGTTCTCTTACTCGCCTCTTACGGCATGCATGGGTTGCTGAAGATGAATTCTAACCCAAATCTTGGAGTGTCCAGGACTGAAGTAATTACACTTAGAATGAAATTACTTCTCTCCTTATTTGTTAAAGGCCACATGTGTTCACTGTAACCGCGGCAAGGGAGGACCATTCTAACTCTATAACTCACAGACATCAGTTAACGTGGCAATATTCTAAATGTATAACAGCATCCTGTAAATAATGCAGTCCAGACAAACCAGTGATTGATCTTATGAGCAAATGTTTACACTTATATCACACTGTTTACACTTATATCACACTGTTTACACTTATATCACACTATTTCTGGGATGGCAACAGGAAAATAAATTTTCAGCTGAAAACTTAATATTGTGTCATCAAATTGGGGGATTGAGGGGGATTCAACAGATTTAGACGATTCACAGAATTGATGAATTTGAAACAAAATCAGCGGAACTCCGCGAAGAATTGCCATCCCTGCTATTTACACTTAAATCATTCTGACCTTTAGTCACAATAGACTTTTGATGAAGTAAACTATTCACTTGTGAAGTGATATTTACATGAGTGCACTTACAGTTTCTATTTATAATCCTGTGGTAATGAAGATTTCAAATGGCCAGTTCAGTGTCTCATGTCTTTCAGTACATGGTTATTCCCTTGTCAAGATGGTCAGTCTCCTTTATCAGCCCCTGGACTGTTCAGGAGTACTGTATTTCCTTGTATACGTACATGATCAAGCTCCTATGCCAAGCCTTATGTCTTTTGTAGTGTTTTTGATATGTGCTGTTGTTTTTTACTTTTATTCCTTTTATGTAAAAATAAACTTTGTTATCTGAAAAGTTGCAGTTGCTTGTATTTTCAGTTCCCCAAAGATTACCCGTGGGAATTCCAAATGAAGTCTGAAGATGTGTTTAATCTTCACGTTTTGCATATACAACACTTATAAGTGTTTCCTTTTTTCACTTGTCACTTAAAGGCACAATGTCACAAATTTTGACAATATTAGGCCCATATTTTATATATTGGGGGCATATGCACTCATTTTAGCTTCCTATTGATGCAATAAAAGACTTATTATCCCTTACGATTGCCTGAAATGGATAATTGAAACTTCTAGGCGAACAGCTTCCAAACATAACAATAGCAACATGTGGAATGTAAACAATTTCTACATACATCAAAAGTTCTCGCACGCAGTGTTGTCGGTGTTTGATGAACTAGCCTCAATCACAAGTTGCATAATAGGATATTCGTAAAGAGCGTTCCAAAGGGCATAAATCTATGGGGTTCGCTCGAAATAATATGCAGCTGGTAGAGTGTCGATATAATGCAACATTGCATTAATTCATTTGAATATTAAGGAGTTAGTGTGTGCAAGGGACGTAACTCTGGATTTGATATGCATAAAATCAGGTCAGAGTTTGGCAAGTATGACAATTCAGACTTACAGTATCTACTGAATAATTACAGAGAGAAATTTTGTGCATGACCTTGCGAAAAAATTAAATTTTAACTTAATTTTACATTGATGGAAATAGGGCCATGTGATCTAACAGGTATGTGATCAGATAAATATGCAATGGGTGAGTGACTGAGAGTTTTATCCCACATTCAGCAATACTCTAGCTATATCCCAGCAGGCACATCAACGTTGAGAATAGGTTGATCCTCAACGTTGAAAATAGATTGAAAATAGGTTGTATATGAAAGTTTTTTTGACGTAGATATCCGACGTGGAATCAACGTTGAAGTTTGACCGATCATCAACGTTGAAAAAAGGTTGTATATGAAAGTTTTTTAGACGTAGATATCTGACGTGGAATCAACGTTGAAGTGTAACATATTACTAACGTTGAAAATGGGTTGTTCCGTGGTTGTATATGAAAGTTTTTTTGACGTAGATATCAGACGTGGAATCAACGTTGAAGTGTGACATATTATTAACGTTGAAAATGGGTTGTTCCGTGGTTGTGTCTGGGAGGTATTGCGCTTTCCTGTAAATAGACTCGCACTTCATCTTTAAACTACACTAAAGTAGCACCAAACTCCTGCATCCAGCTAAAATACCCAAAAAGCTACCTGCAATAAACAGTGTTCAAACAGAAAATTGCAGTAAAAATATTTACCTGATAAAATACTTGGTTAAAAGTCCACATTCAATATAATGTTCATTTAAGTTTTATGTCAGTTGGACGTATAATTCCAGTAAGAAGAAAAGAGTATTCCAAATTAAGAAAAACTATTTACTGTTGTATTGTTACCTTGAAAAGGTGGAAATTGTAGAGAAGACATTTTGTCTGAATTTCAGCTATTAGACAGACCCCTGAATATACACAATGCAATTACTTTCACCATGAAAGGGATCCAAGATGACCAGGAACTATATCTGAAGACAGCACATAAAACAAGTCACTTTTCATGAAATCTTTATGAACACACACGCACACAGAGAAACGTGGTTTAATGCATATTGTAAAACATCACACATGACATAGTCTGTAGGTGATCTCTGTTGTGCTAATAACACAATATCATCTGCATATAGCATCAAAGTGACATTTATGCCTCCAATTTCAATACAACAGTTCAGATTTTTCAACACAATTACAACTCCAAAAACACAATTATCAGCTCCTCTTCTTTCTGCCACTCCCCCTGCCTGGCGGTCAGGTGGATACTTCAGAAACATTCCTAACTCTTTCTTGAAATTTGCTTCGGATGCATTCCCATCAGGACACATTCTGAAATTTTATATTTAAATACATGAATAAGTTATATGGAAGATATATTGTCTTAAATGATTCAAATATTTGTTTAATCAATCACTTGAAAGGTTCATTTCACTGCTGTAACTTGGCATGTGAACATATGAACAGCATCAATACAAAATATGACGAAAAGTGTAAACAATTTATATATTCAACCGAAGGAATGGACGTTTTCTCAAACATTTTCAAAGAAAATCCTCAATTGCAAGTTGATTATTCAATTAGACTATGAATTATGTTGAATTAGACTATGCTTTACCGTCATATATTATTTTCTATGGTCATGATGAAAATGCTGCACTTGGTAATTAACTTACCAGAGATGATTGAATACAACCTTGTATTCTTAAAAGAAAACTTGCCGTTTGCCCCTTAACATTCATTCTTGACATCAAATTGTTTGACATTGTCCTGCAAAACAATGGAAGATTGTTGTTATTCTGTCAGATTTAGTTTTCTTAAGAGATTCTCGGAAATGATTATTTCAAATTAATAGGAGTTGTACTGATATAGCAATTTTGCTACCAGGAGTCATAAATTGTAACAAAAGCCATTTTACATTAAATGATAAGAAAACAAAATGGGTAGTGGTTCACAGGTCAAGGAACAAGTCTATTGTGGGAGGTCTCCCAACACCGTTTGTTCCCAAACACAAGGAAGTATGGATCATGGAGTTCTGAAAACAATAATGAGCTCTCATAAGTATACAATATATTTCCCTATTATCTACTCTGTCTCTCTTTGTCATTTGTACACTCATAAAACTCAGATAAATAACTTCTTTATAATTCATAAATGTTTACACTTAATCTCATATAGGAACGCTTAGAAAATCTCTCATATAATGAATTATGTGGGCGTATTATCTCTTGACGTCATAACTATGCTTCTCTGAATCATGAACAATAAAATAATGAGATTAAACTCTACACTGCCAGAAATAATATATCATACCCTGAATAATAAGACATTGAATAACATCTCTTACAACTCCAATCTACACTCAAAAGACTTAAATGTACTAAGTAAACAAACATCGCTGGCACCACGCAAATTCTTGAAACCGTGTATCTCTGACTCTCAATTCGAAGAAATGGAAGTCCTACTCTATTTGAC